TTTAACCCACTTGAGAGATAAGGGTTAGTATTCCAACCAGGCTGAGAGATTAGGTTTAGTACTAGAACCCCCTGGGAGATTAGGGTAAGTTTCGAACCCACTTGAGAGATTAAGGTTAGTTCTCGAATCCACCAGAGAGATTAGGGCTATTTCCAAAACCCACCTGAGAGATTAGGGTTAGTTATCGAACATGATAGATTACGGCTATTCCTCTATCCAACCTAGGGGTCAGCCAGTTGACCTGCCGACCAATCGACTTTTCAACCCGTCGACCTGTCAACCCGCCGACCTGTCTGCCCGTCGACCTGTCTTCCCGTCAACATGCTCTTGTTATAATAGTCAAAGTAATGCATTTTAGTAACTTAATTCTTTATCATCATTGTAGATGGATGTCTTAGACGTATTGGCAGATGAAAAGGAACTGTATCAGTTTCAGACAGAAGAAGAAACCAAAGAACTCCAACAGTTCTCAGACCCAAGAGCACAATGGAGCCAGGCTGGTATGCTGTGTCAGGTAGAAGCATGTCGATCCCTGGGTAGATTCCTAACCTTTAGGAAATGTATGAATCACTGGACTAAGGTCTATCGGTCGAAAGTCCAGCTCAGATGTACATTGTGCAATAAGAAATTTCCAATACAATCAAAAGGGAAGAGCCATCTAAGGTCGCATGGACATCAAAGCGGAGTCCTTGAAAAGACAGAGGTATCGAATCGGTCTTTCATAGACCCAAGAGGACATATTCCATATCGACTGGGTTCAAGGGATGAGCGAAAACAACAAATTGAAAAAGCTAAATTGGAATCCCAGAGGAAGAGACGGGAACAGGTGAAGGATCTATTTGCTCCATTTCCACTGGAAGAAGAACAAACTCGAGGGATGAGGAGATCGACATTTTCCCTGGGAAAAAGGACAACACAACATTAGTAATCAAAAGTCTCCTGGGCCGCAACAATAAGAGAATCGAATGTGAAATAATGGAGGAAACCTGCCTTCCAGACTTTTAAGGAATTGTGAACAGTGTATCTATATGGACCTTAAAATCGGAGATTATTGATTGACAATGTATTGATTATTGATCACGATATCTATTTATATTTTGCTATGATTTATATTTTGTTATCTTCAATTATATACTTTTATAAATAAAAATATAATAATTGTCTAAGGGGGGAAGAATGTGGTAGTATCGGTCCTTTATGAATTATTTCCAATACATTATTTATTTAACATAAAGTTAACTTACTTCCTTACCTAATTTCTTTATCTTCGTATTCGATTTGTTTATTCATGAAACCGGAAGAGAGTTATCTTTTATTTCCAAACGTATTTTATTTCGAGACTTTCCATTGGTTACTTCTAAATTTATTATCAAATCACATTACGGCTAACTTTTACTTTTATTCTATTGTTAAGAACAGTATTTAAACCCGAGCACCGCCGTGCTCTAGGCTTCTACTGATGAGCCAAGCCTAGTATCAAGGTAATTATCAGGAGTTGCCTCACCCTATTTTCCCTACTAAATTTCGATTAATAATTCTTTATTTTTCTAACTTAGTTCTTTATATTTTTCATTTAGCTATTTTTCTCTAAAGCCACATTCATTCCCCGGGAATATTTATTTGTTGTTTGGTATTTTTTCCATATACAATTGTTAAATCTTTATTGAGATTTACAAACTTGATTATATATTTATTATTTAATTACAAGCCTCACTAAAGGCGGACTCAAACTTACCTGGAAAGAAAATATAAAAGGTTTATCAAAAGGTTGAAATATTATTGAAGGGAACAATTATATAAAATAAAACACAACGCGAAGTACAAAACTTAAACTTCAGTAGTGGCTTAATGCCCAATTACTACACTGCCCCCCCCCCCTTTTTTTTTGAATTTCTGGATCCGCCACTGGTACTGATTCAGTTTATTTATCACCCAGAAGCAGGAAAGAAGATTTTCGAATATTTATGTACTTTAACTATTTAATCGATAGAGCCCCTCCCTAACACCGGACCTCCTGACTCTGGGGCCATAAAATTCACAATTTTGGAAGATGCGCTCTTGCACATGTCTAGAGTAGATGCTTAAACCACCGAGGGCGACTAAGTAACGGATAGAAAATTAGATTAAAATCAAAAGTAACTTGAAACTTGGTCCTCACAGGATTTCAACTCTTCAGCTTCTCAAACCGAATAATTATTGCACGACATCTCTGATAGATTTTGGAAGAACAAAGGTAAATCGTTCTTAAAATATTCGTGATTTTTTAAACGGGTTCTTTTTATTGAAGATAAGAGGATCTCATGAAAGTACTTCTCGAAAACTTTTTACTCCTATTCAAACGTCACTAATTACAGGTAGAGAGCTACAATTTATTATCCTAAACTTGACCCTTAACACTGGGCCTTTTTCTGCATGCCAGCACCTACTGGTGGCAAAGGATTGACTGGCTTGCCTGTCTGATATCCGATATACAGACAGGTGATCAGTAATGTAAAGAGCCCTCTACCGGCCGCGCTCATTGGCTGATAAAAACTCTCACTGACGTAGATTTAAATACCTCGGGGAAACCAAAACAGATCATCGAGTGCTTTATTACATGTATTATGGATGATCGTTACCTCGAGTTTTCTTTGCGTTCGAAAATTGCATTGGCAAAATAAATTGTGAAAGGCATTTAACATTAAATTTTCTAAAGCCTTTGCAAGGAAGATGTATTAAAAGTGCTTTGACGAACGATACTGTTGTTGTTTTACCGACGGGCTACGGAAAAAGTTTGATTTACGAGGTGCTGCCCAAAATATTTGATACCAAGATTATAACTGTTTCACCACTGAATTCCATCATAGAGGAACAATCCGCAAAATTAAGAGACAGGGCAGTAAAAATAGATGGGAAATTAATACAGGATCTTGAGAAGAAAGGTATATGGTTCAGTCTCTCTCTCTCTCTCTCTCTCTATGAGACTCGTTAAAAAATAATTACCAAGTATTTATTTTTTTTTAGAACCAAGCACAGAATCTGAAAATGAGAGAGTTAAACGATTTTTGGATGGAAAGGCTGTTTACATCATGGGGCACCCAGAATTTATTATGGAAAAAACAGTTTGTAAAATTCTTCGAAATAAATACAAGGATAAAGCACACATTGTAGTTGACGAGGCTCATTGTGTTGTAAGCTGGGGGCACGATTTTCGACCACAATTTTCACAAATTTCAAAGTTTAGGTCCCCCTTTCCAATGCTAAATTCGTAGCCCTGACAGCCACTGCAACGGTTAAAATGCAAAAAGAAATTGCAGAGAATTTATGCATGTCCAAAAATTTCCACACAATTTCAAGTTATACTATTCGCGCCAACATAAAACTAAATGTCTCCAAAAGGTGTGCATCAACAGGTGGACATTACACAGCAGAAGAATCCTTTGAAACATCTTTGAAACCAATGATTTTGAGCTCTGTCTACAATTTCAAAACTTTGACAGAACAATTGTTTACAGTAAGCTTAAATACTGTGCTATGGGATTTGAGCTAGTAAGAAGGGAGGCAATGAAACTATCCCTTGAAGATGTTTCTCAAGTGATGAATGCAGTTTCACAATATCATGCACCAAGCACCACTAAGGTATTTTAAAACTAGTTTTTATTTTAATTAACATAAAAATGAACACATTTAAAAAATTCAGTTTAGCCATCAACTATACATATTTTCCCAATTTTTTTTAAGATGAAGGAGAAAACAGTTCACAAAATATGTGACCCCTCTAGCCAACTGAACCTTCTATTTGCTACAGAGGCATACAGCATGGGAACAGATGCACCAAATATTCGGCGAATCATACATTTCGGTCCCCCATCATCACTGGAAAGTACGTTTATCTTAAAAACATAATTGTATATTATTCAAGTATATGAACAGACAAATATTTAGCAGATAAGTAACTAAATTAACGATTTCTTATTAGTATGAATCTTGATTACAGCGTACTTGCAGGAGATAGGAAGAGGTGGGAGAGATGGGGCTCAGTGCATCGCAACTCTGTTTTATAACGCAAGTGACATAGGAAGCAACGTCAAAAACATGAAAGAAGTCAAACAGTTTTGCGCGCTAAAAACATGCAGGCGAAAATTTCTTACTGACCACTTTGGATTTTCATATGAACAAAATATGACACCGCATACATGTTGCGATGTTTGTGAGCTAATATGCCAATGTGACAATTGTATTGTCGCCATTGCTGATAAAATAGAAAATGACGTAGCAATGGAATCGCAAGCATCAAGTCGTAAAACTAAAAATTCTACATTACTTGTCGAAGTTCTAAGTGCGTATTTTGCTGCTGAAAACAGTCAATTGGATATTCCAAACCCAGATGTATTTACTGGTCTCTCTAAATCATTGTTAACAGATCTTGTCAATTCAACTGAATATTTTGAAAGTGAGGATTGTTTAAAGCAGAAGTTTAGTCACTTGCAACCTCATTTTTGAGCAACATATATGAAATCATACAGAACGTAAGCGAAATCTCATTAATTTCCATATTTAACGGAAAACTGGAGCTTTTTATTTTCTATCCAACGGTGGTAGTTGGTTACATTAATATTTGTAGACGAGGAAGCCTGGATATCGGAGAACTGTTCGTGTTGGCGTCCTTCTTCAAACGAAAAAGATCTAACATCTCTCAGTTCATTTAGAATTGACAGCTCGTCACCAACAGCTGATTTGTCGGAATGTCGTTTTGATCTTTCGATAACACCTGAGATTTCATCATAATGCTCAGCAATTTCTCTGATGCTTGATATGGCACTAGACCTGTTCCTAACATTTCTTTCTGTCATCATTAAAACAAAGCGCGGACCTATGCAACCTTTGCAAGTGGGTTACCCAATGATAGGATAGCCACAGATATCCTCGGGGAATTTCCGATCACAGAAAGGGGGAATCGCTACATACTTGTAGACTCTGATTATTTCAGTAACTGGACGGAGGCCTTTCCGATGCCCAACATGGAGGCTCAGACAGTTGCGAAACTGATCGTTGAGGAAGTTATCTGTAGATTTGGAGTTCCTGTATCCATCCACTCCGACCAAGGGCGTCAATATGAAAGTCTTTTGTTTAGCGAGGTATGCAAGCACTTACAGATTCGGAAGACAAGAACCACACCATACCATCCTCAGTCTGATGGTATGGTGGAACGGTTCAATAAGACCTTAGCCACAATGCTGAGTAGTTATGTCAGCGAGAACCATCGAGATTGGGATGAGAGCATACCTTTTGTGATGGTGGCATACAGGGCGGCACAGCATGAATCAACCGGATACACGCCAAACATGCTGATGCTTGGTAGAGAAACTGCCACCCCTTTGGACATCATATATGATATGCCTACATCCTGGAAACAAGTACCGAGTCATAAATGGGTGTGGATTCTGACTGATCGAATGGAAAGAGCTCACAATTTGGTGAGGAAACAGTTAGAAGGAGCTATCCTTAGACAGAAACATTATCATGACATGAAGATGTCTTATGAACAATTCAAAGTTGGGGACCAGGTATATGTCTATTTTCCTCAAAGGAAAACTGGGTGCTCACCTAAGCTGACTTCATATTGGAGAGGACCTTTTAAGGTTCTGGCAAAAGTCTCTGAGGTCCTGTATAAGGTGAATTGTGGACGCAATGGAAAGGATCAGATAATTCATTGCGACAGGATGAAAAGGTGCAGAGGTCAAGTTCTCAGAGGCGAGGATCCAGACTTAGGACTCGAAAGTTTAGAGCTGGGGACAAGTGATTCTTCTAATGTTCCGATAGATCAAGAGGATCAGGATGATGACTTTGGGTCATCTAGCAGAAACATTGAAGTCACAGATGAATTAGTTGGTGATCGAAGACCCAGACGCGAACGACGTGCCCCAACTTACCTTCAAGATTATGTCCAGGACTAGGACATATGACTTTATCTTGAATTAAACTTACATACTATGCGTGCATTGGCTTACAGAGTACTTACACATAACCCTGCTATTATTTAAGTTGTTTTGCTTTTTGCTGTAAAAAAAAAAAAAAAAAATATTGATATTATTTGCATTGATGTATTGTCATGTATCTTTGTAGTGAAATCATGGTTAATACAAAGGTGACGCCGAGAAAATCTAAAGAGATATGTCCAGTGTGTTTCGTTGAATTGGACGGGAAAGATGCCTGGGCCGCTCATGTGTTGAAGTGTGCTAGCAGCACGTTGGTGTGTGAGAAGTGTCATGTATCCTTTAAGAAGAAGGAATATTTGGTAAAGCACATGAAGTTGAAACATGCAGAAAATGATCATGCGTCTAAAGAGCCAGAGGATGATGAGGCAGGTCCAAGTAGTCCAGTCCAGAATAACAGCGACAGCGGGAGTGACTGAGATGAAGATCCAGGGGTACAGCTGGAGGAACCTCCCAAGGAAAAGGATCCTGAACCCCTAACTAAAGCCGCTAGTTTGCTGACAGGACGCATATTCAGAAAGCGGACCGCACCTAGCCCAGTACCAACTACAAGGAAAGTAGTCTGCAGATCCGAACCTGATCCGGAACCTGATGCTGAGTACACTTTGGATAGGGGGATGCAGACTGATTCCCATGAAAACATTACAGTGGATCAGGGGACTCAGACGGCAGGTTTTAGAATGCGGGTGAAAGAGGTTACAGTCACCAAGTTTCATGAAAACGGCAGAAGTGTTGAGAAAATTGTAGAAAGAGAAGAATTCTATAATATGTAAATTTTTGATCTATGCTCTTTCATGCGAAGTTTATAAGACAGATAGTCTTTTAAGATAGTCATGATCATTACTTTCATTTTGCATATATCTCATGTTTTCTTCATTAAAATGTTTATCATCCTGTTACATCATTATTTCATTACTTTCTTTTGTCATGCGAGGACGCATGAGTAATAGAGGCGTGGGTAATGTGACAGATCGGGCTCGAGATACAAGTGCATATTACGTCACCCGGACTTTATCGTAGTGCGATACGATAGCGGCCGAGGGTAGTCCGGGTGATCATCATTATATATAGGAGCGTTTTGCTGAAAGCTGGCAGTTGCCAGTCGGAGCTCAAAGTGAAAGGTCCACTTCAGCGAGGTACGGTAAAGCAGTTAACAGTAAGGCAGACTTAAGGTGACATAGTATACGGTGTCTAGTATACTGGATTTAGAATAAATTTAGAATTCGAGGTTTAATAAAGTATAAATACTTTACTCGAGGCAATTATTTTTTAAAGACCTGTCTGTGTATAGGACAGAAACCGGCAGACCCGTACCTGTCCGAGTACAGGACACATCCCGGCTGGAGACCCATCCAGGACACAGACCTATACGCATTAGTTGTTCTTTTTATGATAAGGATAGGAAATCCTAATAATATATGTATATATTGACTCGTTCATTTTTTATATGCTTTGTCATCTATCATTTTGAATCATTTGTTTAATCAGTGCTCTATCTCTAGTCTACATAATCATTTGTTTAATTCATTAACTTGATTAAGGATCTATACTCAAATTCACGGACCCATACACGTTACAGTATATTGGACTGTTGTTGGTGCAGTACCTGCTGATGGAATATCCGTAAAACTCTTTTCATATAGGACTGCATATGAACCACCTGAAGTGTACGTAATTTTACATAAATATAATTATTTTGCTGCACGTCGAAAAAAACACTGAAAAATATATGTGTAAGCAGTTTTTAGCTCTACTGGTCAGAGACCAGAAGAGCTTATGCGATTGTTATGCGTCCGGCGTCCGTCCGTCTGTCTGTCTGTCTGTAAACAATTTTTCAAAATGCTACTCTTCCTACAGTTTTGGTCTGATTTCAATATAACTTGGCACACAAGTAGACTACACTAAGATACATAATTCTGTGTATCGGTTTTTGATTTAGATGAACGGTGTTGCCGTGGTTACTAAAAATAGAAATTTCTGAGAAATTCTTTCAAAATGCTACTCCTCCTACAGTTTTGGTCTGATTTCAATATAACTTGGCACACAAGTAGACTACAATAAGATACATAATTCTGTATATCGGTTTTTGATTTCGATGAACGGTGTTGCCGTGGTTACTAAAAATAGAAATTTCTGTGAAATTCTTTCAAAATGCTACTCCTCCTACAGTTTTGGTCTAATTTCAATATAACTTTGCACACAAGTAGACTACACTAAGATACATAATTCTGTGACGGTTTTTAGCTCACCTCGACAAAGTCGAGATGAACTTATGCTATACCCCCGGCGTTGGCGTCGGTGTCGGCGTCCCAGGTTAAAGTTTTAGGAGCAAGTCCATTCCGAAGTAACTATAAGCCCTATCTGATCCAAACTTGCATGGATGTTGCATCTAGGGATGTACACTACCAGATTTGCTTCGGATGCTGGATCTGACCTACATTTTCTAGATGAGTGACCAGGTTAAAGTTTTTGGAGCAGGTTAAAGTTTTTGGAGCAGGTCTATTCCCAAGGAACTATAAGCCCTACCCGAACCAAACTTGCATGGATGATGCATCTAGGGATGTACAATACCAGACTTGCTTCGGATGCTGAATCTGACCTACATTGTCTAGATGAGTGACCAGGTTAAAGTTTTTGGAGTAGGTCCATTCCACAGGAACTATAAACCCTATTTGGACCAAACTTGCATGGATGATGTATCTAGGGATGTACACTACCATACTAGTTTCAGATGCTGGATCAGACCTACATTTTCATTCCCAAGGAACTATGAGCTCTATTTGGACCAAACTTGCATGGATGATGTATCTAGGGATGGACACTACCAGACTTGCTTCGGATGCTGGATCTGACCTACATTTTCATTCCCAAGTAACTATAAGCCCTACCTGAACCAAACTTGCATGGATGATGCATCTAGGGATGGACACTACCAGACTTGCTTCGGATGCTGGATCTGACCTACATTTTCATTCCCAAGTAACTATAAGCCCTACCTGAACCAAACTTGCATGGATGATGCCTCTAGGGATGAACACTTCCAGACTTGCTTCGGATGCTGGATCAGACCTACATTTTCATTTCCAAGTAACTATAAGCCCTACCTGAACCAAACTTGCATGGATGATGCATCTAGGGATGGACACTACCAGACTTGCTTCGGATGCTGGATCTGACCTATATTTTTATTCCCAAGTAACTATGAGCCCTACTTGAAGCAAACTTGCATGGATGATGTATCTAGGGATGGACACTACCAGACTTGCTTCGGATGCTGGATCTGACCTACATTTTTCATTCCTTTGCCTTTAAAATGGAATTGTGAATTATCTTAAAAATAATATTCACCGCCAAGTTCGAGTCATTACAGTTTTCATTTATGTCGACATAAACATCAAATGTTTCCATCCCGTGGTTTAGTGTACATGGGTTTTCAGAAAGCTGTTTGTATCTACCCCCTAAGAAACGAAATCAAAAGCCATGGGAAGTCAATGACACGCGTTTTGCATAAATAATATAGTTAATTCTAGTCAATCAATAGCGAAACATTGCTATATCGTACAAAGAATAAACAATATACGGAGGTAAACAAATGAAAAGCTTTTATAAAGAATTTATAGTTTAACTCCAACATAAATATTACTTATCGGTTAACTTGAGTTTTAGCTCTACTGGTCAGAGACCAGATGAGCTTATGCGATAGTAATGCGTCCGGCGTCCGTCCGTCTGTCTGTAAACATTTTTTTAAAATGCAACTCCTCCTACAGTTTTGGTCTATTTTCAATATAACTTGGCACACAAGTAGACTACACTTAGATACATACTGTGTATCGGTTTTTGATTTCGATGGAGGGTGTTGCCGTGTTTACTAAAACTAGAAATTTCTGTGAAATTCTGTCCGTCTGTCTGTATAACTTGGCACACAAGTAGACTACACTAAGATACATTCTTCTGTGTATCGGTTTTTGATTTCGATGAACGGTGTTGCCATGTTTACTCAAAATAGAAATTTCGTCCGTCGTCCATATGTCTGTCTGTATAACTTGGCACACAAGTAGACTACACTAAGATACATAATTCTGTGTATCGGTTTTTGATTTCGAGGAACGGTGTTGCCGTGGTTACTAAAAATAGAAATTTCGTCCTACGTCCATCTGTCTGTCCGTCTGTATGTATAACTTGGCACACAAGTAGACTACTCTAAGATACATAATTCTGTGTATCGGTTTTTGATTCCGATGAACGGTGTTGCCGTGTTTACTAAAAATAGAAATTTCTGTGAAATTCTTTCAAATGCTACTCCTTCTACAGTTTTGATCTAATTTCAGTATAAGTTAGGAAACAAGTAGAATACACTAAGATACATAATTCTGTATATTGGTTTTTGATTTTGATGAACAGTGTTGCCGTGGTTACTTAAAATAAAAATTTCTGTGAAATTCTTTCAAAATTCTACTACTCCTACAGTTTTGGTCTGATTTCAGTATAACTTGGCACACAAGTAGACTACACTTAGATATATCATTCTGTGTATCGGTTTTTGAATTCGATGAAAGGTGTTGCCGTGGTTACTAAAAAAAATTTCTTTGAAATGCTTTCAAAATACTTCTCTTTCTACATTTTTGGTCCGATTTTAATACTTCTGTGTATCGGTTTTTGATTTCCATGAACGATGTTGCCGTGGTTACTAAAAAAAATGTGTGTAAAATTGGTTCAGACTCCTCCTACAGTTTTGGTCTTATATCAGTATAACTTGGCACACAAGTAGACTACACTAAGATCATAAAGAGACTTTATCAACGATCATTCTTCTATTTAATTGTGTTGATAAAGTTTCAAATCCCAGCTGCTTAAGTACTTTGTCTTCCTTAACTAGAAGTTCAAACGAGTAGAGCTTCAGTCTCGACAGAGACTTCTGGTTACTTCCTTCTTCTTAAAATGTCCTGATTTAGCGTGCAATT